CTCCCAAAAATGGCTCCACAGCATGTAAACATATAATATAAGCTCTGGTGGACTTGGTTCTATGGTAGGTCTTAAAGGGTTAAAGTCAACTGTCATCACAGTTCAGTCAGATTACTTTGAAATCCTGCAGCAGAAAGTTGAAGTAAAGCTGAAGTTCAGAGAATCTGAGAAGTTATTAGGACAAAATATGACATCATGTGTGATTAAAGTCATAAATATTTGAGGAAAAATTTGATTTTCTAAGAGAGCAGAAACAAATCTTGTGTTTTCTGAGATTAAAGTCATAAATTTAAGTTCATGAATAAATAAAAAGTCTTAGTTAACATGAATAAATATTCAGGGTTTTAATATTTTCATTGTAAAACCTGCTGACAGCTGGTTTTTAGCGTGCTCGCTGCAGGGGAAACCTCGGGGCTGCTGAAAGGAACTTTATCAGACTGAATGAAAAGATGTTGCCGAGTGACCTTTGACCTCTGCTCTGTGTCTCAGTGTCTGGAGTTCAGCGAGGGCTCGGTGACGGGCGACATGTGCGAGGACCTGTGCGTGCTCGGCCTGGTCGAGTACAAACGCTGCCTCTACTACGAGAACGGGAAGAAGGTGATCGAGGCGCGCTGGAGAGGAAGCCCCATCATCCTCAAGTCCAAGCTGGAGAACTTCTCCTCCTACGAGCCTCTGGGAATTCTGGACTACCAGGTGATGTCACCACCCTCGTGCCCACCTCGGGAAGCTTGTTTTAAAATAACTCTCCTGCTTGTCCTCGCCCCCACAGGACGCAGCCGAAGAGCTCTCCCCGCTCGATGTCGTCTTTTACGCCACTCTGGAGGTAAGCGGCTTCAGTTTGGTGCTGACGAGTCAAAGTTTCTATGAGTCAAACTTCACTTCCTGTCACCTCAGGTACGAAACTCCCTGGGGCTGGCTGAGGAGAACGAGGATGAAGACAGAGGAGGAGGAGTGAACAACAGCTCCCTGGCCAGACTTTTGGGGAAAAAGCTGAAAAACAGAGAGATGAGTTACTCAAGAGCGGAGCTGGCCTCGCTCTGGGCCCTGCTGCAGCAGGAGGAGTACACCTTCCTCAGGTAAACCCTGAACGGGTGGAAGATTTGGATGGTGTCAGTATGTTTAGCTCTTCCTGAGGTTCTGAGATGCTCCAATAAACAGATGCATTTATTGAAGATCGATGCTCGCCTGTTTAATCGAGGGTTTAAATCGAGTTCGAGGTTCAGGGGTTTACCTGAGAACCTGACAGCACAGACAGGATCTCCATTTTTACTGCCAAAGTTTACTTTCAAAGTAAAACACTTTGTGATTTTTCCTGTGAAGCAGCTGACGTTTTAGTCCTGGCTTCTTTGTTCACATTTCACTTGTCTGATTTTTCATGAGCACAACTGGAGAACAAAAAGAAAACGAGTGAAATTAGCTTCAGTCTGAGAGCACAGACGTTCAGACACCGGCAGGCTGGCATCCCAAAATAAAAGCAGCGAGTGGAGGTGACCTGTGCTGCTGCAGTGACAAATGGAGGAAAGCAGCTGTGTGAATGTGGAGCTTTGCAGGTCAGACACCACAGAGTCTGATATCAGCTCTCATGGAGCTGCAGCTCCACATTTTATCCCCACCTGAAGAAGAACTCATTCATCACCAGCTGTTTTATAGAGAACATTATTTTACATCACTGGTACAAATGTGTTCACACTCAAGTGTTTTGGTGTCTGAGCTCTGTTCACCTTCACTGAGCAGGAGGGAGGAGACAGAGAGGTGATTGGTTAGACAGCCAAGGCTGTTACAGCTTAGAGGGTTAGTTTAGTTTTACTGAAGGAAGCCTGTGTGATGGACACGCTGCTGTGTTTCCTGGACGACAGTCAGCATGCCCCCAAACAGACAGGAAGTAAATTAATGGCTCATAAACGAGATCAGATAAAAACACCTGTGTGGTCTACAGATTTTCATCCGTGATGATTCCTTCAAGTTCAAGAACTCAAGTTACCAGAAGGTAACGAACCAAAGCTGCTCGGTCCACAAAGACGCATCCACTGCTGGAAACGTGCAAACCGCTGTGTGCACAGACCTCTGTGAAGGGGTGCAAAAGCACAGATGAGCGAGGTTGCACATTTCCACTTAGACTGGTGGAGCTACGTTCATGCACAGAGTTCTCACTCTGCACCAAAAACAGGTCATGAAGCATGAACACTGGACCATCACGTGTGTGTGACCCAGCAGGCTTATCCAATCTACATGCAGCACAGCAGCATTTCTCTGTGTAAAGAAACAAGTGTAATCTGAAGAAGCAGAGACAGTAGTGTTTGAGGAGGAAGCCATAAAAGGTGCAGCTGTCCTCAGTGTTTCCCCCGAGACTCTCTCTGTGACTCAGGGGGAAATAAAAAGGTTTGAACATCAAAGCTGATATAAAAAAAAAAATTCAAAATTAAGAAAAAGAAGAGCGACAAAGAGAAACTCAATGCAGTGAAGATAGTGCAGAGAAATCAGACCGTAAGTGACGATGGCAGTGAGAAAGACACTGGAATATGTTTAGAAGTTAAAGACACACCTTTAATTCAGTTTTACTTTTATTTTTTTATTATTATTTTAAAATTCACTTATTATTTTATTACTGAGACACTCTTTCACAGTCTTCACATACTTAATGATGACTCAAACGAATGTTGATACAAACTTTGGCGGCCGTTAAGCTACATGCAGCCGACGTGACACATCCATCCATCCAACCAACATCTGTCCATCCATCCATCCATCCATCCA